TGGTAATATTGGCACCTCAAGACTAGAGCTTGGGCGCTAAGGTCTGGAGAAGGAAATTTAGTTTTTACTATGTTCCCCTCATTGTCATGCCTGACAAGTTAATGCAGAAGGCAGTAAAACAAAACAATTTAAAAAATAATAATAATCTTTGAAAATAAAGCATTCATGTCTACCCCATAGTAACACAAACTTTATAGAGATAACACGCTTATGTGTCCATGGTTGGAAAATAAAGTTAAATGTTACATCATGTTATAATAAAGTTATTAACTGGAAATGTTAAGCCACAGATTCAAGTTTGAAAGCACAATTCATACAAATCTCTTAAACAAGTGATTATTACATTATTTAGATCCAGAAAATAAGTCAAATTTTCCAAATATCACCAACTAATTTGATGCTTCACTGAGCAACTAGAAGGCTTAAGGTTTGCAGCGTTTTCTTTGACAACTTAACGATAAAATGTTACATTTATAGCATTCTTATCTATTTCATCATGCACTGACTCACCAGGTTGTCGGTCTTGCTTTATATTTAACTTGGGTTCATTTCCCATCTGTGAATCTGACTTGGCTCTCGGTTTCAGAGATGGGAAGAATTTCATCACCAGATCTGATGGAGGAGGAGGGCTGATGCTCCTGCTAGATCTGCTTAAATCTTCTCCCTTTTTGACTGGCGCAACTTTCCTTTTTATCGTTTTGTCCAGTGCACAGGTTTCACTCTTATTGGGGTAGCTTGCCCGAGGAGTCAGATAAACAGCTTCATTACATGAATTGTCTTCAAGGTCAGTCCAGGTTCTTTCGTCATCAAAGTCAATTCTATTCATACTTACGGGTGAGGTTTTTCCTAAAGATTCAGCAACTGTATTTTTTATGCTTTCTATTATAGTAGACTCATCACTACTATAATCTTTATCAGACAAATCTAGTTCAATATCCCTTTTACCTTCTTGAGTCCCAGGACCCCTAAAAGGCCCCTTTTCATCACAGACTTCTGGATGCTCTTTGCTGCTGAAACACCTTTCTTGATCTTCAGTTGATGGTCTTATGGTAACATCAAGTTGTTCCTCGGAGTCAGTGCCACTATCACTGTCCCTCGCACCTTCATCATCGCTTGCATTCCACCTAGCTTGCGTTTCAGACGCGCCCGTTAGAAACGCTTTCCCACTGATTTTACAAGATTGCTCCTTCAGCCGGGTGGGTGATAACACGGAGTCAAACTGTTTGAGTGCGCCTTCACACTCACTTTCAGGTTCATGTTCAAAATGGTCACGGTTCTCATTTTGGTTACACCGACGGAGAGGGTCCACGGTACCTGTCTTTGCCTGCTGTACGGCTTTGACAGGAGTGGAAGACATCCGGTGACCTTTGCAAATCTCTTGATCTCTTTCTAAGATTTTCAGTACAAATGAGGAATTACTAGAAAATGACATTTCATCAGCAGCTTGTTCTAAAAACAAAAATTCATCTAATTCCAAATTTTCTTTTTCTTTTTCTTGTTCCCAATTTTCTATCTTTTTCTGAAGGGAAACATCCAAAGAGGATGCTAGCTCTTTTACAGTTTCTCCCCTCAGGCTCTTAGAAGCCTTGCAGTCCGCCACCCCTGTCGAAAGAGGAAGTCTTTCTGTACCTGGTGTCTTACTCCGGACTTCACAACCAGTACTGCAAGGTTTTGTACACGCGGCTCTATGTTCCTTATTATTAGATTCAACTTTTTTTTCTGATTTTATCTGGTCGCGAAATTGCCCCTCACATCTCTTCCCTGTCTCTATTTTCAATCCCAATGGAGAGAGACTTTTTCTACTACTACTCTTGGGAAGTTTTGGCTTCTGAGTGAGTGTGGCAGAACCACTCTTGGGTCTACCTTTACTATTCTTTATGACAGGGGGGTTGTCTGAAGGTAATTCTTTATTCATAAGAGCAGTCTTCCGTTGGAATTGTTGTCTTTCTACTTTAAGCTGAGGTTGGTCCTCTGAAGGACTCTGATTAGTGAGTGGCTTACTTTCTTTCCCTTTCTGAAGTCTCGATTTAGCACCAGTAAATCTAGCTAAACCTTCTCCTCTTTTTAAGAATGGTCGTTTGGGTTTTGCTTTGATTGACAATGATCCTTCTGCTTCCTAAAATAAAATAATAATACATGAATTAATTCTTATATTTTAAAAATATTACTGATATAGTTAAGTAATCTCAATGTTTTATTTTGTTTTGTTTTTCTCTGATAATATTCTATCGGGTTTATTTTGTCCTATAACTTTTTCTTAATGGTGGTAAAATACATATATAACAAAACATTTGCTAACACAACAATGTTTATATGTAAAAGCCAGTGGCAATTATTAGATTCATCATGGTGTGCAATCATTAACACTTCAAAGTTATTCATAAAGCAAATTATAAACTGATCTCTAAATTCTTTGGATAAATTAGTAAAAATGGCTGAAATACTAACCCTTAGTTGTTTTTGTTTCAATTCTTGTTCTTCCAGTCGAATTTGCTCTTCTAAGTAATCTTCAAACGTCTGTTTCTTTTCTCTAATAGCAGCTTTAATAGGCCTAATCAAATATAAAAAATAGTTATTTAATGAGCAAATCATAATGTGAATATTTTACATTGTGATAAACCCAATTGCACAGAGAACCAACTTATCATACAGCCAGGGTCACCATTTGAGAACCTAGTGAAAACTGCAGCCCCCACCCCTGACCCAAAATACAGAAGTATTCACTTGGGTAGGGCTTCGGGGTACTTAAAGAACCCTTCTAAAACCGTTCATTGACTTTTGGGGTGACACCTTAATTAATATCTTTGAACTGTATCTTTTAAACAGTTCATTAAATATGCATTTTTAAATTAAGAAAGAAGGATCCTTAACAATGTAAGGAGAGAAACAATTAGAAAAGTCATTTTTCCCATACCATAAATAATACATTAAAAATTATAAATAATTTCAATATAATTATTATCTTTGCCATGAATTTCCATTCTATACCTAGACTATTTGTGCCGATATGATTTATACACGATACGAAATGGGAGGTTTCAATACTTAATTTGTTTTTCTCTAGAGCAGAATGTATCGAATTCTTTGAGAACCGATAAATCTAACCAGATGTTTTCTCTGATGGAAAAGCATTCCTCATTGATGTGTGCATGGATTGGGATAACCGTTGTATGAGCCCCTAATAAAATGTTAAAAAAGAAAAGAAAAAAGAAAAAGCATTCCTCAATTGTCCCAGTACACGGTCAGAGCTACTCTCACTCATGTATCTCCCCAGCCTCTTTCTTTGGCCAACAAGATGTGTGGTAAATTATCTTTTTAACCTTTATACTTAAAAGCATATTAAAATGAAAATAAGAAAACTGGACCTTTCCAACAAAGAAATGGCTCAGTAAGAAAGAACGACAACTATACTGTCACATTTCTTGTTCCCATCAAAAGGGATAATACCTTTCTTCCATATCAACCACTTCTGAGGAATCACCACTTTGTCTGAAGTTCTTATCATTCCCTTCCTGCATCTTTTCTGTCATTTTCTCCCAACATGATAAGATCCCTTCTCCTAGGATAGAAATAAGGAACATTTTAATTCAAGAAAGGCAGATTAAAGTTTTAAAACTTGAGCATTTTACAAACTACATTCTTCAAAAGGTTAATGAGAAAAAAAACAGGGATATGAACTCTTCCTGATTAAAAACTACTAAAGAATTATAAAATCCAAATGCAATGCATAAAGTTAAGTAGATTCTTTTATATATATACATATACATCAAAACAGCTAGAAAAACATTTCTGAGATAACAGGGAAATTTAAAAATGGATTGGATATTAAAGATTTGTTACTTTACTTAGGTATAATTATTGTAGTTGATAATTTGATATATGCCAAATTATGTGTACATATTACTTTAAATATAATGGTTCAGCAAATATATAAATATGGCTAAAGTTATAGATACATACATATAAAGACAAAGTAAATATGATTTAATATTAATAGTTAAATCTAAGGAATGACCACTACAATTATCTTTCAACTATTCTGGATATTTGAAATTGTCAAAAATAACAGACTAAGGGGTGTTTTATTTAAAAGATATTTGACCTTTCCATGCCAAAGAATTGATTCTAAATTAGAAACTAAGTATTATACAAAAATGCCCAAATTTCAGTTGTAAGTAATGTATGGTTTATATACTTATGTAATTTAAATTACACAAAAAAACACACTCATGAAAGCATCTCATATAAAAACACCAGAAACAAATTCGTCCTACCACAAAGCACAGTAAATACTGGTATGTAACTTGACGAACAGCACATCACCACCGAAAGTCAGAAGAGCACAGAACATACCACACACATTTCCAAAACGAAATCGAAAAATAGCCACAGTATTAAGTCCTATGGGTTCTGAATGAAATCTGTCCCCGTCTCTAAGAATCTGTAAGTCAGTCAGAACATATGATTTCTACTTTTCTCTTAGTGAAAGAAAAGCCTCTAGGTCTTTTCAGGGAGTTCCTAGTTGCGTTGGCAGCACACTTAGGTGACTGATCTGTTGCACTTAGGAGTTGCTCCAATTGTTTCAAAGGGAAGGCTATTAAAGCAGGCTTTCAGAGAGAGCAGCACTCTGAACTGCGCCACTGCCTGTGTGGCTCTCCAGAGTCCAGTCCTCTCCAACGAGCCAAGCTCACACACCAGGCTCCTGAAAAGGCTCATTTCACCTCTTCCACATCCCGCATTCAAAGTCTCCAACCTGCAATGTTTCCTGTGCCAAGTTAACATGACGTTATCACCTAAATTGTAAGCATTTCAATCTATTTAGCTCCACAGGCCATGACAGACCCTTATAAAGTGGCAGTTCTCAACCTGTGGGTCGTGACCCCTTTGAGGGTTGAAAGACCCTTTCACAGGGGTCGCCTAAGACCATCAGAAAACACATATTTTTCGATGATTTTAGGAATCAAGACACCACTCCTCTATCCATCTCCAGGCAGGTCCACCCACATGCAGATTCGCCCACATACAAGTACCCAGCATGAAGACTGTTACCCATGCTGCACCACGCTTCAAGACAAAACTTCATTGATTTGTCATTAGAAATAAATAGTTCACAAGATAGAATTACATATTGCTTTGTGATTCATCACTATGTTTTAGTATATGTGCTGCCGAAGCAAGCACATCACTATGTTTTAATTATGTTCAATTTGTAACAATGAAAATACATCCTGCATATCAGATAGGTAGGATGATTCATAACAGCAGCAAAATGACAGTGATGAATTAGCAATGAAAATAATGTCATGAAAAAAACTAATAAATAAATAAATAAATAAGAAAATAATGTTATGGTTGGGGGGGGTCACCACAACATGAGGAACTGTATGAAAGGGTGGTGGCATTAGGAAGGTTGAGAACCACTGTCATAAAGTCTTGCATTAAAAGGCAAATCGGAATTGTCTGTAAGTCAGATGCTCCTAACCCATTTAGTGTCTGTATTATACACAAAGGGGCTTTAAAACACTAGTGAAACATTAAATTAGAAGATCGTGAAATCTTCCCACGAACATTTTTTAAGACCCCCTGCCTATGTTCCTTAAGTCCCCCTAAAGTTGCGCTGGCACTGTTGGAGAAGCACTGGGCTGCTAACCACAAGCGTGGCAGTTCAAACTCACCAGCTTCTCTGCTGGAAAATGAAGCTATCTGCTCCTATTGGGGTTTACAGCCTCACAAACTGGCCAAACTTTCCTGGCCTTTTTTCTCACCAACACAGTTTCCTATTTCAGTCAACTCAATGGCAGTGGTTTTGAAATTTTTGTGTAGGTTATTAAAAGGGAAAAAAAAGGCTAGATAAGGGCTAACGTTAGAAAAGACTACAAGCTAGAAGAAAATCTACTCAACACGCTGAGAGTTGTCTGTTTGTCGCATCAAATGTTGAGTGCCAATTAGTGCCGGGAGCCAGGAACCAGAGAAACAAACTGAGTTAAGTCAGGTTTTACTGTTTGTTACTTACTATGAGTAAAAACTTCTTACCAACTAGTAAAACTGGCGTGGAGGTGGCATCTGACCTTTCTGTGCTCTTCTGTATTTTAGAAATGCCTTGCCTTGCTTTTCTTGGTTCTTGGGACTTTGTTTTTGAGTATATGCTTTGGAATAACCCAGTCAAGAAAGAGAAGCTTTCCCCAAATGTGTCCCCTGCTATGAAACACTTCTGACAGGTTAGGTGACATTCCACCCATCCTGCCTGCTATTCTAGCCCCTTAAAATCGCTCCTTACCCTATGTTCTGCTCCCTTACCCTGACAGTCTCACTCACAATTTGGAAGTTAGGACGCAATGGGAAATGGTTTTTAAAAGAACTACTTCCACCTATCGTTTCTACCCCATCTACCTCACTCCCAGTTCACAAATCAACCTAGAGAATCAGGGAATGACGTACTTGAATAAAGGTCTCATTTCCCTTATAGCAATACCCTCCCTCCCTGCAATATTTTTGACACAGATCATCCCACTTCAGCCTGAAGATGTCTTTGATGAAAGAAATTCTCAAAATGTGTGGCCTATAGACCACTGGGAGTCCCTGAGACTTTCCCAGGGCACGCATAAGGTCAACATTATTTCATATTAATACTAAAATAGTATTTGCCCTGTTCGGTGTGTTGACTCTTGCAATGATGGTACAAAAGCAATGCACAAAACTGCTGTGCCTCAGCTCAAATCAGGACAGCGGTAGTAGCTGGACTGCCACTGTCTTCTTCATCACCATGTTTTTTTAAAAACCTGGTTTAAATTAAGATTGTCTTTGATTCAATAGAGAAAAGTATTCATCTATGAGACAAATTGATAAATACACATAAAGCATTTCTGCTCCAGACCAAAATCTGGTTGTCTTAAGGAACTGCCTTGATGACAATGAGTTTGTGTTTCTTTGCATTTTTTATACTTGCTGAGTTCTAAGTCAGAACCAACTTGATGGCAACTAACAAAACAGCAATAGGCGCAACTAGCCATTGTTTTCCAAGAATGCCATTTCGACGTGAAACACTAACAGGCAGCACACAATTACGCATACTTCTTAGACATAAACACCTCTTGAGATTGGTTTTCTGGGTCTGAAAGCTTAGGGTCATAGTCTCAGTTAATAACTCAGTTAATTCATATAATACCATTCATAAAGCATATGCCCTGTATCACAAAGGTTGTGTAGTGTCTGGGGTCTTAAAACCTGTGGCAGCCATCTACGATGCCGGTCTCTACTCATCTAGAACAGAAGTGAAAGAAGGAAGCCAGACTCAGAAGAAAACCGCTTACAAGATCAATAATCTACAGCAGTGTTTCCCAAAGTGTGCAATACTGCCCCCTGGAGGCTCTGGAA